ATGTCCTTTGCCCCCCTCTCTCCCACCCTCTCTCCCCTTCTACAAGCTTCTCCACTGTCTTTCTGGGGCCAGATGGGGGAATGTTACAGCCCCTCAACTCAACTGAGCTCCACAAGCCTGTGGGAAAAGTTCAAATTTACACTTCTTCTCAAGGTTACTTTTTTGGATATGTTAAATTTTCTAAACTGACTCTTCTGCTTGCAGCAAAGACAGGGACTGATTTAGTGTCAGGACAAGAGCTCAATGTGCAATTGCAATAAAGAGGTGCTAAAGGCATTTTGAGGCCTTTGCTTTCACCCAACACATACCTACACACACACAAGCCGCACACATAATTGGATCATATCTTAGTGAACTGCAAATGGATGTGCTTTGGACAGAGTTCTGCACTCAAATGAGGATTGCACGCCTTTTCTATCATAATCCAGCTGACATCAATGTCTGGCTACAACTTCAGCAGGCAACTGCACACAGAAAAGACAGAATGCTAACTGCATAATCACGCAGTGCATGTGCAGGGGCACACCACACTGCAACCCAATGTGCAAAAAAAAGAAGCAGAGGTTTGTCTGAGGAGGCCTCAGCTACTTGAAGTCACCCAGCGGTCTCCAGGGTGAGAGACAGAAGACTATCTCCAAGGGAACACAAAGCCTCCTGCTGACTAAACTGCAATCTCATCATCCCTGCTGCTGTGGCTTTGGGAGCCCATCCAAATGGTTAGTCATTACAGGGGCTGTGTGTGTGCATGCGGGCCACTTAACCTGATGAGCCCCGGAGAGAGAAAAGAGATGGCCACTGTATGCTGAACAGAGAACCGATGACATGTGGTAATGAGGCTTTGTCATTCACTGTCTGAAAACAAAACCCTCTTATGTCTCTGTCATCTTCCCCAACTGTCTCTTTATCCACTCGGTGTCTGTGTTCTCCCTAACCAAACCTGCTGGAAATTGCATTTAATGCTCCAGTTCCGGAGCTGCAGTGAACAGAGCTTTGCTTGCTGTCCTCCGGGCGGCTCAACAGAAATGGAGAGATTTCACGCTCTGGAGACAACGCAGCTCATGGATAAAGCCACACTTGGTTGGTTGCTTTCTCCTTCAGGATGACAGTAAAGGGGGTATGATTTGTTTCTCTTTAAATAGAATCACCCAGTGCTGCTGAAAATTTCAATTAAATTTCAAAATGAGGGGGACAATATTGAGAGCGGGAAAGAAAAATGGTCAATTACTGAGGCATGAAAGCAGAGAGCGGTAACTATAGAGACAATGAAGTTGATATAACAGTGTTTGAAGTTGTGAACTGTGTAACAGCTATATTAAGTTTGAAAACTTAATTTCATCACAGACATGTAGAGACTGCCCCGTGTTAGGGTGATAGGGTGCAAGGGAAACAGTAGTAGCTACAAACTAAATGCAATCCTCTTACCTCTCCAGCTTTCTTGTTCATTTAAGGTAATTAGCTTGTTCAATAAATGTAACTAAATACATTTAAATATGTAAATGAGTTAATCTGGTGTTAATGTTCTCTCTGGTACAATCAGATTTAACTACCCCCTTATTTATGTGGTATAAGGAGCATTAAAATTGATAAATTCAATTGATTTCAATGCCAGGAAACAGGCAAAACCTGCTATTTTCCCCAAATTACAGGTTTCATGGTACTATATATTCTGTGGTAAGGTAAGGTATCAAAAGTCTAATTTTGGTCTTCAGTGTGCTCAAATATGTAGTTGCTGTGTTTTGGCTTTGTATCACAGTATGTTGATAATTGCTCTTGCCGATGTTCTTTGACATTTGTCCAACACTCATGCATATCATAAACTACTGCTGGTAGAAACATTTCCTTGTGTGGATGAATAAACATGCTGGGTACACAGTGTCAGACATGACACAGGTGGCACATTCCTAGTTAGACTTAGGCACAAGTCCTGGATTTGTGCAGCAGAAAAGGAGGGGCTGAAGCATCTGCAAAATACAGCACTGGGTAGAGGCTCCATATCACATTCTCTCTGATCTGTGGGTTATAAAAAACGCTTTTGCTTTGACTGCTTTTAATGTACCTTCCAAACTTTCAGGTACAAGTGACAGACAAAGATGGCTCCCTCCTCTCTTCTTGCTTTTAGGTGAGTCTTCCCAAATTCCCAAATTCTCTTGTGTGTGTGGACTTTCTGGCCGACTGCAGTCGAGAAAATTTGAATGACTTTTCCTTTTGAGAATTATTTCCACATGGCCACCTCAGGGCAGTGTGTCTGTGTACGCTTAAGGTGCACTCACTGGTCTTAGTTCTCCCACAGAAGCAGTGGACCATCATCTTTACAACCGCTACCAGGCTTACCGCTGAGTGTGTGTTTTCAAACTGTGAGGCCTGTCTGCAGACTAAAGACAGAGCTCCAACACTCTGTCGCTAGAGATGAGTCTACAGCTACGTTCACACTGCAGGCAACAGTGGTCAAGATCTGATACATTAGGTCCTGAATGAATGAATGTCACTCTAGATTGACATTGTCTCTATTGCACTGGCAGGAGTAAGGCCGTACTTGACACAGAATTATGCCAGTCGAATCATATTAGGCTGTTCAATACAAATATCCAACTATTCCTTCCTTTTTCTCCATACAGAGTTTGAGCGTTTGAACAGGGTTCAACGGGACGTTCAGGGTGACACTGACATTCACGTAGTATAGTAAACAAGCTAACAGCACTAACGAGGGATCGGAAATGTGCAACAGTTTTTGCCGACACCAGATATCAAACAAATGCCAGAGACTGTGTCGTATTAAATTGCTGTGGGCTGTAAACTCATCACTTCTCAGCAGAAGGCAGAAGATAACATTATGTCAGAGCCTTACAATGCAAAGCCTCTCCTCCTCTGGGTAGCTGCCTCAGTCTATCATGCTGCCTGTTTCAAAGAGAGGCGTGATAGTGAAGAGCACTCACTCTGCAGCAAAATCTGGGAACCAAAATGTCCACAAACTGCCTGATGATTCCATACTCTGATTCTCAGCGGGCAGCCACAGGTGGGAATCACACAGTGAATATAAACATGGAAGACAGCTGTGATGGACAGGTGTAGTTTAAAGTAGCCCTTCACATCCTGAAATTTCTGATGAAATCTGTTTCAGTGAAGCCATTAGCATCACAGCCCCACCACTTCTGGCTCCGTCTCTGCATCTACTCACACTTCCATACAGAAGTAGCAGCCATTGCTCCACAAAAAGACACCTCATCCTTGCCTGTGTTATCGTCTGCTCATTAATTCAATGTCTCCCACTGCACATCAACTTGTGAATTAAAACATAAACGCTGACTTCAGTGGCCTCCATGTCGATTTCAGAAAGTCAGAATGCTGTGTGTGATGGCTATGCTATTGCTATTGTTATTCTGGGCATGCTTGCAGTGTGAGCGTAGCCTTAGATTAACACCACGGGTGTTAGTTTCCATGATTATGATGCAATTAATTTTAAAACAATAATAGTAATGTGGTGTAATATCAATTACACAGCACTGATACATCAAGAGGAAACACCAAAATTGGTTTACAGCTGCTGTTTTGCTTTATCAAAAAACAACCATTATTTGTGCCTTATTTCATGTAATATTGTGTTTCTTTTTCCTACTTCGTCTTCCAAAGTACACACACACACACACACACACACACACACACACAGCACTGATGGGGTTGGGACATTCACAAGTTAAAACAACCTCTCCGACTCTCTGCCAACAATCTGTCAGTCAAACGAAACATTATTCCAAGCAGGAGATACGCTATCCCGCCTTTCCAAAAAGCTCCCTCTGTGTTCTAATAATACTTTGAATTCCATACAAAGGATGGGGTAATCGCTGAACGGGAACATGTTGCTCCAGTGACGGCAAGGAGAAAACACAACTAACGTCAACTCATGTCATCTCCGCAGCTATCATCCTGCTACTCCGCTCTCTACAAGGATTAAGTTGTGACTCTAATGCAGCAAGCAAACAACATGTAAGCTTGTTTAGTAGGCAGCAAAGCTACAATACTGTAAAATTAACTGTAGTGTCCACACACACACACACACACACACACACACACACACACACACACACACACACACACACACACCAGAGCAGATGGTTACACATTAGCCCTTTTTTGCTGAGAGACTGCACTACAGGGCCGCTACAAAGTTCCTTCTTCATGCATTTTTCCACAGAAGAACCAAACAACAGCGGCATCGTGTGTGCCAGCGTCGCGGATGCAACAGAGGCATGATGGGTGTGACATGTAACACAACAGCATCAGCCTCTAGTGTGACATATAACATGCGTGTCGGCAGTGCTTTATCAACAATAACAATGGTGTAACATGACAATGACAATCATTTAACGTCTCTGTTATATGGTGGTTGATCTTGTCCTTTGCTTGGAGGGTAAGGAGCTCCCAGACCTCATTGTTTCCCCAAGTTGTGGACATTTTAGGCTGCTGTTCTTCTTCTTTGAATTAACCACTAGCTGCCCCTGGTTGGTGGTAGGACCTATAATGTCAGTATTAAAATATTTCACAATGTGATATTTTGTAAAATTTGGATTTAAAATCATATGCAATGTGACCACCACCACACAAAATGTTGCAAGATAAATTCAGAATAACAACCTTGGGACTCTACAACACATGTACAATCTGCACCTGCACACCCGTAGTCACAAAAATGCATTACCAATCAATGTAAGATGTACAATCCGTCTTAAGGTGCTAATCCTCCTGCTTAGAGTGGTAATGCCAACCTGTCATTTAAAGCACCTGAGTGGATGTGACTCACCAGAGCTTCCTGTGCAGCTCAGGAGCTTTTTATCAATCGGTAGGATTAGTAGCATGTCTTATCATCGTCTAGGCTTTGTGATTACTTTCAACACAGCACAGTCACGGCAAAGAACTGTGAGACTCCGGAACATGACACAGTGCAATCAAACGTTTTGCAATTGAGCCTGTTCCTCACATCGCACATGAGAGATTAACCCACCCACCTGTATTTTGACAGCTATTGACAGGGAGTTCAGCTCTTTATCCAGTTCTTTGAGGACCACCAGCTTTTTCAGTGTGAGGCTGCAGAGCCTGTGGGGGACAGAAAGAACAAGGCAGGGGATAGAACAGATTAGTGGCATGGCTAACACAATGTGAGCACACCTTCATAACATACTGTAGCATCTGGGGATTAAAAGCATAGCCGACAAAGCAGCTCTCACTACAGTTTATTTCTCCCAGTGTCTTCATTCTTGATTTGGTCCGCAGGTTATGATTAGAGTGACAGGCAGCAGTCAGGAATCATCAACGGCTGCCAAGCGAGTGAACAACGAGACTCGGTAATCAAACCCTATTCTGTTCAGCTTTGTGTCCCTCATCATCAAGGAAAAATCTATGACTTCTTGTGGCGGGATGGTGCACCAAAGTGCTACTAAATTAGGATTCATGTTGTCAGCTTTATGGGCGAATTCTTAATGGGAGGTGACATGGCACAGATGCTTTGACAAGCTGTGGTGCAGTAAAATGTCTTCAGTCAGCCTTCTTTCAACATGATGCTACATATTAACATTAACACAGAGACTGATGTGACTCACTGCCATCTGTTCATTACGAAATAAAACAATTAAGAAACACATACCTACATATGCCTCCAAAGAAGTTAGAGATATTTTTGACTGCCACACCAGGTATTATTTATACCAGAAGCTATCACACTGGAGTGACTGGGTGACAAACGAAGACGACACAAGTACAGTTTTATATACTGTATTTAACTTAAAAAAAAAAAAAAGATCACATCGGGGTCAGAGGGTCCCTGTGGACACCTCTCAGGTCCGGCCTATCTTGTAGAGCACAGAGGCAGATAAACAACTGAGCAATACAAGAAGGCTTAAACCAGACATAAGCTCAATTCCACGCCTCTTTCACGGATCCATAGCAATTTGTGACCTTTAAACCCCCCCCCCCCCCCCAAAAAACATTGCCTCTACAGCAAGACACTCCACAAAACGTCAACAACTCCCGAGCCAAGTTTGCTAAACTTCCTCCTGACCCACTTTTCCCTACTGCATCAAGTTGTAATCAGTCTGAGCCAGAGTCAAACGGGAGGAGGAAAGACAAAGCAAACAAATAGCTGTCCAGTCACCCACTTTCCTTGAAAGCTACTCTGCAACACTCACTGACTCCATTCAGGCACTCCCTGCTAGGGATGTATGATTCACAAAGACTTGTCACATTCAAAAATAAAGCTAACTGTAATGTCAGAGACGACCACAATGGGCTGGTCTGTTTACAAATGAATATTCTGGGATTTACATGAATTTGTCAAGTCTTAAAAAAAATGTTAAAAGTTGATCATGAACAATGTAATTCAAATAGGAAACAAGAGTTTAAAAACTGAGATTTAAAAGTGCGTCATAATTACTTTGTAGTCATGTTCACAGTGAAATGTTTCTTGTGTTACAAATCAGTCATTTATTTGAGTTTTATGTCTCTTTCTACAAGATACAAAGTAAGGTTGGGCAACATGACGCTACTTCTGTGCGATGGTAGAAATAAGGGCTGGGCAATATATCAATATATATATATATATAGATATCATCTTGGATTTCCGATATGGTAAAACCAATAAGTGTTACCGAGCTACATTGCTAACTCCCTTGTTAACTATTTGCCTCCAAGAACAATGTGATCATCTGCTGCGGGTTTACTCTAGGTCCTGAGCAACAGCTGGAAGAAGATCGGGGATGCAGCCTTTGTCATTTATGCCTCAAAGCTCTAGAACACACTACCTAAAAAAACGAAAACGAATGTGTTTGCTTTAGCCTTTAACTAGCTCTGACTTCCTGATACAGGTCTGAAACTCGGTTTCTTTTTACGCTTTTACTCTATTTTTAATGCTTCATGCTGCTGCAACTCTTTAAAAGTCTTACTTGATTTTATGGTTTATACCCAGCAAGCAACAGTCATGATTTAAACGTATTGGCTATATTTAGCTCCGATTTAGTCTAGCTACATGTAACTAACTGTATAATTGATGACGTCTACATTTTGGCTATGGTTAGACGTTTACCAAATTTTCACTGATGGCCCAAATTCAGCCGTGATTTAGCCTAGACGTCAGGTCTTCATGTAGACGACTATTAGACATTTTTTAAACCAAAAAATGCTTGCTGGGTAGTTTTACAACTATGGTTTTATGAATCAGTTAATCCATGTTTTAAACTGTTTTAAATGTCCTTTCATATTGAATTGCCTTTCCTGTTTTATGTCCATTATGTCTATTTTCATGTGAAGCACTCACTCTTATTGATGATTATTGATCAATAATGTCATTATGCAAATATTTTGTAAAAGCATCACCAACAGTCAACCTACAATATCTTTGCAATATTGATATCAAGGTGGTCAAAAATAATGTGATATTCAATTTTCTCCATATTGACCAGCCCTGGTAAAAATGTGCCAAACTGTTTCTACAGCAGGAGCTATGCTGGCACGATCTTGTGAATCAGCTGTTTTTTTAATGAACATTTCAAATAAAAGAAGAAAATAACCAAATGTGTTGTTGTAGTATGCTTATTTTACAGTTACTGTATTGTGATATGTATTGTTACAGTGATATGAAATGATATGTACAATGATGATGATGACAGGAATATGGCCGTATCGCCCACTCCTAATACGATCTTATTATGTTTTTGTTTATTTTAGCTTCCATTTTTTCATCAATAATATGAAGGGAAGAGAAGAGATGAAGAGTCACAGTTTTTGTTAGCTAACATAAATGTCATGAGCCGTCAGCGTCTTCCATTTGTCACTACAAAAAAGGGGCAATTAACCGCATAGAGGGAAAAGGAAGGAAGCTAGCCAAAGGTCACCAGATCCTGAGAGGTGTTTATCCAAGCAGCCAACATAATGTATCTTTAATGATAACAATATAAAATTTTCAATAACAGGAACTCAGTGTTCCTGTGTTGAATCTCCCTTTAGTCCGTGATGACATAATCCAGCGTCATTTTACTGGAATCATTTGAGAGAAAATTGTGACTCCACATGGATGGCGCAAACTAAATTACCTAGTGTGCATTAAAATAACAAATGCAACTCTATTTGAGGCTAGAGTAATTAAATGTTAAACCTTGTAGGTAGCACATGGATCCAGCGTGCCTTATGGTGAGGATGAGTCACCAGTCAGCCACCGCTTTCTGTTGGGGGGTTGGGACAGAAAGCAGGCTGATGGTTTAACAACATCTCTATCCCGCCACAGCTCTCTCTGCCTCTCTCTCAGTAGACTGGGATTCACATGTAATTAAAAAGGCTGCAGGCACTGAAGGGGTCACCTAGGGAACCAGGGATTTTTTATTATTAGACAGAGGTGTTATCTCCACTCTTGCCTGCCACTGTGTTGTGTTGCAAGTGAAACTCGTGGCCATCTGTTCTGGCGTGGTGCCAGTCTGTCCCTGTGCTCCTGCCCAGTGCCAGTCCACTTTGCCACCCAATCAGTGACTGCAGAGACAGACCAGGTGTCACACAAGAGCACTAATCATCGTGCTAAAATAACTGAAAGAGGCATACGCTGGGTCAAGGATAATTAAGCTAGTTTTAGAAAGGATTGTTGATATGGACACGCTGCGTGTCTGTGATTACAGGAATACGAGGGGGGGTTGTTATTTGTGTTCTCCCCTACACTCAACAGACACTGGCACACACTCAAGATCAAAACAGGGGCTTGCAGAGGCCACTCGAAAGATGCATTAATCCTCCATTTTGGCATGTCGTTCCCACATTCCCAGAGAGAACCTGGGGTGGGATCACAGCACGCCTCTCTGTGCCAAACAGGACCAAAACACAGCGGTGTTATCAATCCATAGAGAAGACAGAGTGGGCGGAGAATCCATACAGCAGTCTAGAGTTCAATATTTCTGCGGAACAGGCGGTGGAAAGCAAAGATAAGTGAAACATTTTCTGTCTGTTTCCCAGTTGATAAGAGCCCATGGGGGAAAACCCTCTTACAGTGACGGTACTCGCGCTGGTTAAGCCAACACATCGCCTGCCAAGCTGCTCTGATTGGGTCATCGTTGTTATGGACTGCATTTATTGATCGTCACATTGCATGCTGGTATTCTGGTTATGAACTCTATTGCTGGTTTTGATCATATTCAGGACAAGTGGTGGAAATAATGAAGTACATTTACCAAAGTACTGCACTGAAATACAATTTTCCCTCATTTTACTTAACAGTATTCCCATTTATGCACCTTCATACTTTAACTCCACTAAATTTCAGAGGGAAACATTGTACTTTTAATCCTCTCCATTGATGTGATAGATGTATATTACCTAACAAAATAGGATCCCCCCCATCATCAATGATGAGAAGTTTGATATCTTGCGGTGTGTGCATGCCTCATAACACATTGCCTACCCTACTGACCTCACTAAACTAGCTCCACTTTGATCAGTAAAATGCTGTGAGGCATCAGTATTTATAATGTAATATATATAAATAATAAACCAGTAACAGGGGACATTTTACAGTAAAACCACTATTTTTACTATAAATATTTGGCTTATAATTCTGAAAATGTATTACTTCTACCCAGCTCGCTTTTATTATTTAACATGGTGTTGGGATGCATAGTTAAATATCAAATTGTTTCACAGGTGGAGGCCAAACCAACCCTGAGGCAACGCAGGACCCGAATCAAGTCCTACTGCAGGCTAATTAAAGTAAACGTGCAAATCATGTTTGCGATGACATTTTCCATTACTGACATGGACATATAAAACAACTGGGTGTTGTATCATGTCAAAATGAGCAGTTATTGACTACTCTGATGGACGCTGCCCAGTAGGTGCCTGAGCACTCTACAGCTAATAGGTTTAGCCTATATGGCATCACTCAAAGCAGCGCGAGTAGTGCTGCTCCATCTGAGCCCATTAGTGTGTCCAAGTCACTCGCTGTACCGTCATTAACTGTTGACCTTTTCGGCCTCTAAAGTAAAGTGAAGCCATTCGATTACAAGGCCATTTCCCTCTTTCAGATTGACATAAGTAAATCAAAAGTATGAGGGTGGCAACTGCTTCCA